AAATGGATATCTTCAAAGACCAGAGGTCCAAGCCCCAATATAGACGGATCGTTAATACAGTATAAATGGCAGTGATCTGTGGATCACTTGTTAGCATTCCGTGGGCCAGATTTGGCCAGCAGGCTGCCAGTTGAACAGCCCTGGACTACATAATTCATGAACTTTAAAAAGAAATAATTACTGTTGACCTACATAAGTGTTGCACGTAACATATCACCTTGGAAAAAAATTAACTTGGGTCAGACATGCTGAGAATAAACACAAGATAGTTTTTTAACTGTATGTCAAGACTGGCTTATCTTTATGTTGTCAGTCCATTACGTGATTTTATTGACCCATGCTAGGACTAGCTTTACCAGAGCTGTAAACACCAGAGCAAATATTTATTTAAAAACTTAACTTTTCTGCACTGCTGGTTACTGACTGATTTCTTTAAAACTTCTGTGTTGTTGTTTATTTCTTGACCTGTCTTGTTATTTCCTTAAAAACTCTAGTGTAGTCACATACAATCATGCCTTGTTTTTTTTTCTTGGACTCTTTCTGTCTTGAGCGGTGCACCATGTGTCATATTTCCATGTACGTCAAAGAATGTATTATGCGTTTTTATACCAGTAATGTTTGGTCTCAGCAGATAACAGAAATCTGGCTAGATTTTGTTTACATCCACCAGCATAGGTTTCATGTTATGCTCACATCTAGTTTTGTTTCCCCCATTGTGATTGCTAAATCCCTTTGGGTGTCTGCAACCACATCTTTTGAGACTGCCTGAAACTCCAGTGTAGTCACGTACAATTCTTATCTTATCTTTTATCATTTGAAAGATTTTTTTAGTTGAAATGTCGACACCTGTCTTCTTGTCTTACTATCTAATCTGAATTGTAGTTTTGTTTGTGCATGTGTGAAAAACCTGTTGTCACATTATAAGGTCTGTAAGAAGCTATAATTCTGTTCTGCATTCGGTAATCTTTATATAAAAAGTAAAGGTCCCTTTTCTACACCTTTATGTGTGTAGGGCATATAGGGCTAGACCTATATTTTTATAGACCAATCAGCACAAGATGGGTGATGTGGTCAGCATCACGCTGGCCGCCTTTACTTACTGGGACTGTACCAGGTACCCAATCAAGACTGGGTCGACCTGGGAGTCAAGGTAATTTTTGAAAAAAGTCGGCTCCGCCAGGGATCAAACCCACGACCTTCCAATCCGCAGGCAAGCATCCAGCTGCTACGCCATGGCGGCTCCCTAACCTTCAAATAAGGAACTATGATATAGCATTTCAAAAGTCTTGGGTTTAAATTTGTCCGCCAATGTCCCCCCCCCCCCCCCCCCCCCCTCCCCCCCATATTATGTCTGTTTTACTGATACAGTTCTGGCATACAAATTATGCACACTGCTTATTCTATCAATGGGAGCTGCTGTGGTGTTGCAGCTAGAGGCTCCCTTGCAGATCAGAAGTCGTGGGTTCAGATCCTGACAGTGCTGGACTTTTTTCAAAAACCATCTTCTCTCCCTAGGTCTTAAATGGGTAGCAGGTACAGTCCTGGGACGTGATCTTTTTTTTTTTCTTTTTCTTAAAAGGACATGGACATTGACAGTCTCGGGAAGTAAAAGTGGCTAGCGTGATGCTGACCACATCACCCACCAAAGATATTCTTGCATATAGGCAGGGGAGAGATAGGCGACGGATAGCTCATGAGCTACAAGCAACTGTGGACAAAGTGACTGACTGGTGTGCAGAAATGGGTGCTGTCATCAACTCAGAAAAGGCGGCTGTTTTGTGGTGTTCTCTGGACAAAAGAATTGTAAAAGCTGGCGTTCCAAACCTCACAGTTCATAACAGTAACATCAAAAGAGAAAGCAAACTGAGATACTGGGTATCATTTTTGATAGTAGCCTGTCCTTCAGGGATCATGTGGATGCAGTTGCAGTGAAATTCCAAAAAGGACTCAATGGTCTCAAGATTATGGCAGCAATGGACATGTAACAAAGAATGTTGCTCACAATGTTCCAGCATGTGATCCTGTCGGTGATAGATTATGGACTTGGCATGCTTACCATATCAAAGAGTCAGCTGATGAAACTTGAACGCATACAGAATTAAGCCATACTGGTGATTCTGGGATGTACAAGAGATACCCCGGTAGTATGTATGCGATATATACTTGCACTGCCTACTATTGCAGATAGGCTCAAAGATCTACAAATAAAGTCATATCTCAGAGTAGCTGCGGACAAGAGGCACCTCCTGCACAAAGCCCTGGATAGAGCTAAGGGTCACAGACTGAAAAGAGGAAAGTCTTGGATAGCGCAAGCTGAAGACACAATTGGACATGTGTGCAGGCTTGATAAATTTAGGCGAGGAGAGGAGTGGGTCAAAGTGTCCGATTATGTTTCAGACTTGTGTAGGGTTCTTATCACTTTAGGACGTGAGTGCAGGGACTGGCCAGCTGGTGCTGCAGAATCAGAAGTTCAACAAATGATTCATGACAATTCCCGCCCAAGTGATTTGATTGTATATACAGATGGCTCTGTGGTGAGGGGCAGACGAAGTGCATGGGGGTTCATAGCGAAGGCGAATGGACATCGCTTGGCGCAACAAAGCCTGGCATTTGATATCACAACGTCTAGTTTGAGAATGGAGGTGGAGGCAGTCACTGCTGCCTTCCGTTGTCTTGAGAATCAGCTGTACACACATGTCGTCATTGTAACTGACTCACAGAGCATGCTGAGAAAGGTGGAGACAGGCATGCAGAGTGGCAAGCATCACTTCAGATGTCCTGGGTTGTTAGCATTTTTTGGATATTTTCTCAGGGTCAAGCCGGTGTGTTGGGAAATCAGCAGCGGATAGACTGATCGGTTTTGCACAGCTTGGTGATGACCTGATGTATGACAAGCTGGATGTTGTGAGGGCTCTTTGGGAGCGAGTGAACAGTGCCAAGGAACAGATAGATCATTACGGTCTGAGGAGAATGTCACTACAATGAGATCTGGCTGAGGCTCGACACTCTGGGGAGGGGCGAGACGGATATACAATCAGACTGTTACTGGTACCATCTGAATTTTAACTCTTCACTTGCTGCTGAAGGTGGGGAAGGAGCGCTTGTGGGAGTGCTGTGATGTCGATTCTTAATTCAACATTCAGCATCACTCACCGAGTGCCAGTTGGTCTCTAAAATGAAGGTCTAGCCCTATATGCCCAATACACCTAAAGGCATAAACAAATATCCTTTGCTTTACTTTTGTTCTAATACTCTGTCACTTCTGGGTCTGTTTTTTTTTTTTTTACAGTTCTTGCAGTGCACTAGTTAAACTTGTATAAATGGGCTGTTGTTGACAAGCTAACCGATTGGTGACAGTAATTGCTTGTTGGGAGTTTGTGTCCGTGTGATTCTATGTATGTATGAGTGTTTCCATGGGTAATTGTATAAGATTTTGTTTGTGTGTGTGTGTCTGCCTTTGTCTGTGTGATTCTATGTATGTATGAGTGTTTCCATGGGTAATTGTATAAGATTTTGTTTGTGTGTGTGTGTGTCTGCCTGTGTCTGTGTGATTCTATGTATGTTTGAGTGTTTGCATGCATAATTGTATAAGATTTTGTTTGTGTGTGTGTGTGTCTGCCTGTGTCTGTGTGATTCTATTTATGTTTGAGTGTGTGCATGCGTAATTGTATAAGATTTTGTTTGTGTATGTCTGTGTGTGTGTCTGCCTGTGTCAGTGTGTGTGTCTGTGTGTTTGCATGTGTGTGTGTCTGTGTGTGTGTGTGTGTGTCTACTTGTGTGTCTGCATGTGTGTATGTCTTTGTGTATCTGTTTATGTCTGTGTGTATATGACTGCGTGTGTATGTCTGTTTTTGTCTGTGTGTGTGTATGTATGTGTCTGCGTGTGTTTTTGCATGAGTGTGTCTCTATGTATTTGTTAGTTTTTGAATGTCTGCATATCTGTGTGTCTGCGTGTGTCGGTGCGTGTGTTCGTCTCTCTGTGTGTATCCATGTGTGTGTGTGTCTGCATTTGTGTATGTCTGTCTGGTATTTGTTTCTGTGTGTGTGTATCTGTGTGCATGTGCATAGTCTGACCACATCACCCTCCTAGTGCCAGTTGGTCTATAAAATGAAGGTCTAGCCCTATGTGCCCAATACACCGGAAGGCATGGAAAAAGGATCCTTTACTTTGCTTTTGTTCAAATACTCTATAACTTCTGGAACTGTTTTTTGACAGCACTTGCAGTGAACTGGTTGAACTTGTATTAATTATTGGTCACATTATCATCAGCATGCTGTATTGGTCATATTCTCATCAGTTTGCTATATTGGTCATATTCTTATCGGTTTGCTATATTGGTCATATTCTCATCAGTTTGCTATATTGGTCATATTCTCATCAGTTTGCTATATTGGTCATATTCTTATCTGCATGCTATATTGGTCATATTCTCATCACTTTGCTATATTGGTCATATTCTTATCTGCATGCTATATTGGTCATATTCTCATCAGTTTGCTATATTGGTCACATTCTCATTAGCATTCTGTATTGGTCACATTATCTTCACTGTGCTGTATTGGTCACATTATCTTCAGCATGCTATATTGGTCACACACACTCATCAGCACACTATGTTGGTCATATCTCATCAGTTTGCTGTATTGGTCGCATCTATGTTGTTTACACTCACCAATCGACCCATGCTGGTGATATTATTGAACCCATTCATGCATCTTTCTCTGATACAACCTCAGTTGCAGTGTCTGCATGCTCAACATACACATCAGGAGTTGATCTGCATATCTTCTTTCTTTACCCTGCAACCATTTTGTGCATGCCTACCCTTGTTTAATACCCATTTCAAACAGGTTGTTTATTGGCGCCGACTCCTGTGTCTCACTGTCTCTGTAACTCAGTGCTCCGGATGTCTGCTCTTTCATTTCCTTTCACCCAGTATAGTTTCTTGAGGCATGCGAACAAGTTATAGTAGTATGTTTTTTCAATTGTATTTCCACAGGCGCCAAGAAATCCAGGCTGAGCTGAAAGAAGATGAAGCACCATTATCCTTGACAGCTTTTCCAAGGTAAGAATGTATTCAGTGATGAAGAGTATTTTGTAATCTGAACTTATAGATGTAGTTTATACCTGAATAGAAGATCTGCCAGTTACTGTCTGTATCTACCTCTTGTGCAATGTGGGCGGAGGGGTATTAGAGACTGATGATAAGTGCTGTCACCGTGGACTTTGTAGTTAAGGATTTTATTGTTGCTTCTAACAGAAACAAATCCATGACTGAGGATTTGAACGTGGGTCTCCCATACGAGAGCCTAACATTCTTTACCATTTGACCAGCTGCTCCTGGAGTAGAAGATTCAATGAATGGTAATGTTATAGCAGCTGTTGCGAGTCAAAGGGAAGTGAGGCCAGATCTTTAAGGCATGGTGCATCAGCCGGCCAGACAGCGGAGGTTGCACAGGCAGAGAAACGAAGGCAGACTAGAAAGAACCGTATTGCTAATCCTTCCTACACTTACTGCGGCTTCTACCTGTTGTCCTCATTGCTCAAGAACTTTCCAGGCTCATATTGGACTAATCAGCCACCTTCGTACTCATAATCATTGATCATTACTACTTTCAATGAAAGGTTGTCTTCATCGCTCTGATGGATGAACAAAACAAACAAAAAACGCAAGTGCCTGCGCACACACACACACACACACACAGATATATATCTATATATATTTGTTTGTTTCCTACTTTCAGATTGGGGTGTGGGTTTTTTACTCACCCCCCTTTTCAGCCAGATCCCATCAATGGTATATCCAAGTCACTGTTTTTCCCAGATGAGGCCATTAACCAAGGACACATTAGATTCAAGTAAGTGAAATATTACCCGTATAGATATACAGACATGATTTTGAACTCTTTCGGTCACAAGCAGTTGTTATCCTTACCCTTTTGCCCCATAAAATCTTTTTTTTAATGACCCTTTACAAAATTGTGTTTCAAAATTCATACCCAGCACATTTACAGACTGTGTAGATGCAGCCAGGACTAATGCTGTTGTATAAGCTGATTTGCCACTACCCAAAGTCGGCAGGTCATCAGTAGCTGTAAAATGCATAAACTGGCTTTCTGAGGGTGACAGGATTAACTCTCTATATAATTGAGCTCGGAATCCATTAAGACTGTTTGGCCTGAAAGTGGTGATTGCTTTGAAAATTTTTTGGTTAAACGTCACATTCAGCCAGCATCACCGATGGTTGAACCTCACGTTATAATTGTGACTATGTCCGGTCTGTCATATCAAGTAGCTTTGTATGGCTCGCCACCATGTAGCTCTGAAGAGAACCCTTGCAGTGTTGATGCCATCACAGGAGACTTACCCAGATACTGTCCCCAGCGACGAAGCCGTCTACGGGCGAGCTTTTGGAAAACCCAGTTGCAGATGAGGAGCTCAGCTGAGCTGTTACGTGTGACACAGATAGTCAGACTAATAATTCAGATAGAAGGGCTTAATATAACCCATGTCAGTGGTAGATAAGAACAGGAATGTACACTGTGCCCCATAAGTTCCTCTCGCCAGTTCTCCCGCCTCGTGTACTTTCATGTTCAAGAGTCACTTATATCCTGCTCCTATCTTCATGATGTTCGGCCCCTGCCTCTCCTTCCTGGTACCATGCCTTCTGCTATTTTCTTTCCCAGTCTGCCCTAGCGCTTGATATGACCAACCAATTTCAGCTTCCGAGATGAGATACTGTTTATTAGCCAATCTTCCTCGAAGTTCAGATCTTTTAAAGTGTCTGTATTATTTCTCTTCTTTGTCGGCTGTATTCTGAGAATCTTTCTATAGCATTTCAGCTCAAAATCCCCTATTTTCTTGAGGACTGGGGCACAGTCCACGACTCACATCTGTATGTTGCTACAGGGAAGATGCATGCTCTCAGAATTTTAATACTGATTTCCTTGCTGGTGCTCAACAATAGACTTTTAGTAATGTTTAATTAAGTTTCCATACACGTCAAAAATAAACACACACCAGCGCCATAACAAGCATAACACCAGCTGTTAGGGGGCAGCATGGTCTCATGGCATGGTATTCGCCTCAAGTGCTGGAGGTCTTGGGTTCAGGTTCCAGTGATGCTTTGGATTTTTTTCACATGCACTTCTAGTAATGTCTCCTTGTCTCTGGGTAGTAAGATTGGACGCCCGTGTGTATTGTTGCGCATGTAAAAAAAATCCTTTGGCATTTGGAAATCGAAAAGAGTAGCCTAACGGCGCTGCCCAGGCAAAATTTGGAGTAAAAATCTACCCAAAGTATGTCAGGATCTTCGCCGGTGCAATGGAGTTCATGCGCTGCGCTGAGATTCTTCGGACTTAAGTTAGAATTAGAACAGAGCACTTATGGGTTACTACCCGTATGCCCCATGATGTTGATCCGTTGTTTAAGCCCCAAACTTCAAACCAGCTGTGCTTACTTATACCTGTTTTTCACCAGTGGAGTTATGGGACACCTGTGTATGGAATGACCCCAAAAAAATGTACACCTTATTGCCCTATACTGGAAGAGTTAAGCATGAGGCAACTCATCGTTCATTTCTTGGTCACTTCAAAGGCACCCCACTGTTCTTGCAGTCTTCTGTTAATAGATCACTGCTGTGTAACTCACTGTCTAGAAGGCTAGTTTCTTCTCCTGTCTCACGATGTCTCTTCTGTAACTCCTTTAACTTTTTCAGGTAAAATTTAGAATACAACGTTTTTCCCTCGTGGATTCCAGGACCCCATTTGGGGGGGGGGGGGGGGGGTGAAAGGATGGATAGACCCACTGCCACCTAATAAGCGTGTTGTAAAATGCTGCCTGTTGAGATTTAGCTGAAATCAAATGTGTTGAGGCAAAAGGCAAAGTTATTGCAGCCTAGCTGTAAACCTCAACCCCGCGTGCCGATTGCCTTTTTATAGATAAATGCAGATAAAGAAGAAATGTATCAGTAAAAAATGCCTGGGACTGCAAGAGTTAATCAAGCACGACATTGTGTTACTTGGTTTTTCAGATCAAAGATAAAGGTATTCCTCTAGCTGTTGTAAAATGTGTTTGTAGGTATTTTTTGCAGGAATTTCTTTGAGTTAGTGAACCATTTTTTAGCATTTGCAAGGTGAAAGAGTTTAAACAGTGGTTGACACATTGTCTTATAGATTGTTGCTATGCTGTGATATCTGCACCTATTGGCCTAACAGACTCAGTTTATGCAAACCCCCTAATTATTCATCTTTTACAACATAAATGTCAGAGGTCGGGGGAGGTGTCTGTCCACCCCACTGAAGGGGCTCTGAAACACACAAAAATGCATTGTCTTAATAAATTACTCCCTTGACAAAAGACTTGATGATGGCAATCATCCTTATGATATATAATTGTGATAAGTTCTTCTTTTATCCTCATTTTCAACAGAACACTGACAAGGAATATCAGAAGCAGAAGAGGAGAAAAAGTAGCTATCAATATCCCAAGTAAGTATGGAAATTTGGTCTCAGTCATTGTTTAGGTCTTCTTGTTATTGTCCGTGTCATTTAGTTTTGGTATTCCTGTCTATCTGCAACCTTCTGTCTCGTGTACATTCAATCATTTCTGATGTAGATTATCTTTGATGCCATGATCCCAGACTGCCCAACAACTTCTATCTGTCTGCCTGTTTTCCCCTGTAGCTTTCTCTCTGTCATGATTACTCATTTTCTCCTGACTAAAGAATGTAGAACTTCTGATGTGGGCAATCAGTTATTTGTGTGAATCAGGTTCTTTCAAGACATCTTCATTACTGTTTATATCTGTCCTGGGTTTTCTCATCATGCATCTATGAAACAACATCTCTGCTGCTTCCACATAACGTTTTTGCTAATCGGCCAAGTGTCCACGATTAACTTCGGTATATCGGGTTAGAATTTATATAGCTCTTAAGAATTATCTTTCTCATCTCATTTGACAAAAGAAATATTGCCTAGAATAGTGTTCATTTTGTGAAATGCTACCTTTTGCTCGAGCAGTTCTACATTTAACTCCTATAATACAGGTTCGGTCTGCTATTATTAGTTATCATTGTTAGGTTAGATAGCTGTGACATTGTAGTGACTTGTGTCCACCTTCTTGAAAGTCTGCTTGTGACTTATTTTCCTGGAAACTGTCCTCCCCATTGGTGCTGTTTCCAGGCCGTCATGACGTTTAATATGGTCACAATTTTTCAACTTTCAAGACAAGAAGGTGTTTATGAATAAATTCTCCATGATCTTCAGATCAAGCAGGATGTCACAGTTTTTGTTTTCTTGGTCCATTGTATTCTAAGAATTTCTCTATAGCGTTTCAGTTCAAAGGCTCCAGTTTTTTTTTCACTGATTTGATAAGAGTCCCTGACTATCATCCTTAATTCAAAGCAATTTTTTCCTGTAATGAATTTAAATAATGCGGACACAAACAATACATTGCACAATTTATTGCCAGGCATATTTCGCTGTAACTCATCAGGTGCGTTACTACAGAGTTACAATAACATAAAATAAAGCACAAAACTTTTTTTGTAGTAACGCACCTGAGAAGATACAGCAAAATATCATCCTTAAGTTGCCATAGAAAAGGTACATGATTAAAAAAAAATTTTTTTACTTAATTGCAGGAGCTACAGTATGTGTTCTTCATGCTGTTTAGCCTCTGCATTGTTGATTACTGCATGTGAATAATATCCAGTCTGTCCTCTTGAAGAAGTCACAGTAATGCAGTGGCTAGACACTTGCCTCCCAGCCTGGGGTTTTGGGTTTGAATCCAGTGGGTAGTTGATTCTTATAATTTACCTGTGGCTCCCAAGTGGGCCTTGCCTGAAATGGGTACCAGGAAGGGTTCTAAGCAGTAAAGATGGCTGACATGATGTTGATCACATCACCCATCAAATGCCATCTAGCACTATATACTCAAGGCGCTAATGAAAACGGTCCTGTAATTTTTATTTTTATTTTTTTACACATCGTACATTGCTGGAGAAAGAAACAGTTGAATAACTTCATTACCTGTGAATTGAAGCTATGCCAGATTGCTCTTTTGATTCTCATTCTCACTTGTGCAGTGAAGGTAGACACTCAACACTCAGGGGAAGGATGAGATGGATCTACAGTCAGTTGATCACTGGTACCAATCGGAATTGGAACTCTTCACTTGCCGCTGAAGATGGGGACTGAGCAATTATGGGAGTGTCCCGAGTGCTGTGATGTCGATTCTTAATTCAATATTCAACTTGTGCAGTGTTTTATTCTATAATGAAACGGATATTCATGTGTTTGGGGTAGTGAGTAGGCTGATAGATTAACTGCTGCAGCTCCTCTCATGGTGCGCTACTTTACCTTCTTTTTGTTCTCCCTGCCAGTATTTTTTTTATTAATTTTTTTATTTGAGAAGTCTGATGATCATTTCAACAGCTGCTTTATGATGAAGGTTGTCTTGGGTCTGGGATCATTTGGACAATGCAGCAGAAAAGAATATCCATAACTGGAGAGAGTGATTTTGCTGCGAATGAGCAGAGTGTCTGGGCAGTTGATATTCAACATCAGGGCAAAAGTCATGTGGACATCTAATCAGGTTGCAACTGGCACCATCGGTCTGGGAGCTCCACTGAGTTGTGTGGAAGTGGTTACTGAATGCAGTTATATCAGTTCTTCAATAATTAATTAGGTCCTTTTCATGTTTTCCGGGGCATCTGCACACTTTCTCAGGCCGGTTTAGGTCATAGGGGTGTCACATTGTACTGTTTTCTTCAAAAAGAGTCCTTCATGGACCTAGGCTGAGGCTGTGGGTAGGGGGTTGTGTTGAGTTGAGTCAAGAATTGACATCACAACACTCGGGGCATTCCCATAATGCTCAGTCCTCATCTTCAGCAGCCAGCGCAGAGTTCCAATAATGAGGGTACCGGTCACAATCTTTGGGTGGGGAAGGGGGGGGCGCAGTTCTAGATGTTCTTGGGTCATTAAAAGCTGTGTCCTCGTGTAGTATAGAACACGCAACATCGGCGCTGATGTAATTGGAGGCCAGACAATGTGATACCCCTCTGATGTAGAACAGTCTGAGAAAGTATCATTAAAAGGTCAGCCACTTGTAGATGGGCCGGGAAACGTGAATAAGACCATTAATTCATTTGGTTATTGTATAATATGAAGTCATCCTTTGTTATGTTTGTATTTTGGGCAGTTTTCAAAGATGTCAACACACCTTCGCCTTTTATCGAAGATTTCTCGCATCTGAAAGATGACGGCTCTAGTGCCGCAGCAGCAAAGCCAGATCACATCTACATGGATTGTATGGGTTTTGGCATGGGAAACTGTTGCCTCCAGGTCACTTTCCAGGCTTGTAACATTGATGAAGCCAAAACTTTGTATGATCAGCTGGCTGGCATGTGTCCAATAATGGTGAGACTTTTGCTGTATGTAAGCCTTGTACAATAGGTGCCACCATATTAGCACTGGGTTGGCATCTTATAACAAAATAGGTCATGTCTACGCAATGAACATTAATAACATTGGCCTGCTTTTAGCCACATTGGCCTGCTTTTAGCCAGTCATCATCATCTTCTTCTTCTTCTTCTTCTTCTTCTTCTTCTTCTTCTTCTTCTTCTTCTTCTTCTTCTTCTTCTTCTTCTTCTTCTTCCTCTTCTTCTTCTTCTTTGTCTTCTTTTTCTTTTTCTTCTTCTTCTTCTTCAGCATTCTGAGCCCTTGAGGTTCATTGCTGCAGTTATCACCTGCCTCCATTCATCTCCCTGTTTGACCTTCTCTTCCCAGTTGGTGACACAAATGTTTTAGCCAGTCATGTTTTTTTTTTTAAATCTGTCTCTACTGCCTGTTTTTACCATTTTTTTTAGAGCAGTGTAGAACAGTTGCTGTGTTAGGAGTTGGACTTTGAGGCTGCTTGGATATTGTAACTACCATAAACTGTGCGGGTCACAGAGCGCAGTGTTATGCAGAAACAGTGGTAATATAGCCAACGGTTGACTTCACAAAGAATGGACCGCAGAAATATCAGAGACACTGAAAAGTACTATATGTGAAGGGAACAGAAGGGCCAGTTCCAGAGATGTTTTTTCCCATGGATGCTGTGAGGCATTCCTAGAATACAGGAAAGAAGACATTAAGAAGACGTTCCTGATCGGCTGAATTTTACAGCTAAATTTTTTTTTTTTTTACTTTGAGGCAGCTTCCTTAGTCAGCTTTTATAAAACATGTACAATAGGCTGCTGTCTTGTTCTTCACTTCCCTTTGGAAATAATATACAGGGTTCGTAGTGGACCGGGAAATCGGGAAATTACCGGGATTTTTTTCGTTGACCTTGAACTGTGAATTTTAGCTTATAAAAGACATTCCGACCTTGAAAAGCCGTGAATTTTGACCGCGGCAATGAAATCGTCAGAAATCCTGTGTTTCTCAGCACAGGCAATTTTGGGGGAGCCATTTGGCTTTTTTGGCCATTTGGCTAGTTTTTGGCTACTTTCGTTGTATGGTCGTTTCAGGTGTGAGGGCAGCTGATTATTGGCTATTTTCAGCCGAAATGGCTTGTTAAAGGCCAGGGGAGGGCGGGCTGTGTTGCAGATCATGAATACATGCAGACAGCAGCGGTGTGGCATGGGGCGGGAAGTAGCAGATTCCGTCTCGCGCGTGTGTGTGTGTGCCTTTGTTTCTAGCAAGTCCGGCAGAATGAACAGTAAAAATCGTTTATGGCCGTGGTTTCTAGAAAGGATTACATTGGGAGATGGTGGGGCTCGGTTCAGTTGTATTTATAAATAGAGTCGCCGTGGTGGGGGCTAAGCACGGCGGCCTTCTCTATTAATTAGAGATGGCATTGAGGCTAAGCAAAGTGACTGCAGCTGGATTTCCCAGTTCTATTTTTGGCCTGGATTTATCTTTACAGTGTGTTTGGCGATCAGTATTGTAATTCCCCGAGATTCCCTCTTCTGTTGTCTCACCCCTCTCTCTCTTCCCTCCCTCTTTCACTCTTCTACCTATTGCTCCTTCCTTCCCGTCTCCTGCATTGTCTCTAACCCTCCCTTCTGATCTTTATTTTCTTCTCTTTCTCTCTATCTTTCCATTGACTCTCTCATTTCCTGTCCCCCCTCCCCCTTTTTCCTATTTTATTTCTTGTTTAAATGTTTAGTAAATGTGCAGCTCCATAACTCTTCCTAGCAACTCAAGTACACAGGAAGTTGTATTGGGGGGGGGGGGGGTGCATTCTGTGTGAACATGGTGGATATTTTCTTTTGATGTGTTTGTTTTCCTAGCGGCCTTAATCTCTGTCCATCTCCCTTCCCGCCCCCTCACATTTTGTCCTACCTGTTCCTCACTCTCTGCCTGTCTGTGTCACTGCTTTCCTCTCTCTCTTTCTCTTTGTATTTGCCACTCTCCCTCACTCCCTCTCTCTCTCTCTCTCTTTCTTTCTCCATACCTTCAGTTGGTGTAGAAGGTTATGTGTTGCCTAGTGCAGAACATTTCATGTCCACCATTCCCCCCTCCCACACATTAAATATATGTGTACTTTTAAAAACACATTTGCCGTCACCCCCCCCCCCCCCCCCCCTTTTTTTTTCTCCTCCCACATTGATGACACCTAGGGGAGGGAGTGCACCCCTTCCTGCTACCTTCTTCCCTCTATATCTCATCTTATTTCTTACTCCCTTCTTTCTCTCCCTGTCTCATTCCCACTTTATTTTCTTAAACTTTTTATTCTCTCACCTCCTCTGTCTCACCCTTACCACCTCAGCCTTCTACACCACTTTCCACCACCTCCTCTCTCCCCTCCTTTCTGTAATTGGAAAACCAGAAATAAAACGAAGTCCACTGCTGCCCTGACCTATTTATGTGTCTGACCTATTTATGTGTGTGGGTAAACTTCTCTATTTTCCACCAGTGGTGGGTTGGGATCCCCTGGACTTTTTTTTTCTTCATAAAATGACCTTGGCTCTCAGGTCACCAGCCTTAAGTGTAAGAAATTGAATTATTGTTGTCACACACAGATAGGACAAGCAAGGGGCAGTAGGGGTTAGCACTGTTGTTTTTGGACCACGGCCACATTCACATTGGGAGAGGGTAGGAACCGGAAAAGTGCCCTCACTTAGAGATTTCCTAATTCTATTTTTGGCACTCACTGTTCTTACCCCCCCCCCCCCCCCCCCCCCCCCCCCCGTGTCTTACCTTTCTTCTCTCACCCCTTCTCTTTCCTTTGATCTTCTACTATTCTCCTTTCTCTCTCCATTCTTCCTCTCTTCCTTTCCTTGCCCTTTCTCCTGTCCCATCTCTTCTTTGTCTCCTCTCCATCCTGTCTTTTCATTTTCTCTAGATTTCCTTACCAGCTCCCCTCTCTCATTCTCTTCCCCCCCCCCCCCATTTTTTACTGGTTCATCTACGTATTTTTTTGCCCCATAACTCTTTTCCTAGTGGTTGTGTCCACTACACTTGAAATTGTGTGTGGGGGGGGGAGAGTAGGTGGCTGTTTTTTTTCTTTGATGTATCTTGTCTCCCTTTCTGCCCCTCTCTCTTAATCTGTGTTTGTCACTGCCTTCCTTACCCACCTCTCTCTCTTGCTTTATGTCTGTTTGCCTCCCTTCATCACTTCCTCTTTGTATACCTCCCTTCCATTCTCCTGTTCTGCCTTTTTTCTCTTTCTTTGGTTCTCTCCCTCTGTCTGCTTGCCTCTCTGTGCTGTCCCTTTGTCTCTCTCTCCTTTATGTCTACATCTCTCTCTGCTTGCATCTGCTTCTCACCCTGTCCGTTCTCTCTCCCTGTCTCCCTTCTTTCAACTCTTTGTCATATTTTCCTCCTTCCATATCTCTGTTTCGTTCCCTTTTTCCTTCTCTTTTCATCTGCCCATCTCTGTATCTGCATTCCCTTTTTCTGTATTTGTCTCCCTCTCTGTCTTTCGCTGTCCCTTCCCCACTTTTCCTCATCATGTCTCCATCCCTCCCTCTCATTTTTTCCTCCTTCCCCAGACTTCTTTTCCTTCTTTTCTCTACCTCCATCTGTCCATCTTTACACTGTCTCTCCCAGCCTACCTCAGCATGTGTCTTCCTCTCTCTTCATGACTCTCTCTCTCTCCCCTAACCCTCTCAGGTACCAGGTCCAGAACAGACAGGACTTCAGTTTGCTGCCCTCTACCACCAAGCCCTAAAAAAAAATTTCAAACACTATATCAAGCGCAGGGGCCGACCAACACGAAGATGGGCACAGGATATAAGTGACTCCTTGAGTATAAAAAAGTACATGAGGCGGGAGAGCTGGTGAGAGACCGAGGTTTTTTTGTCAGGACAAAGGAAATGCTACATGATGATGATATCTGTGCTGGTATACCAACACATGTGGCACAAATGAAGTACCTTGTGTGCTCAGTACACCCTTGAACAAGGCAAAAATCTTGTTTCAGTATTACACCGAGACAACCTTGAAAAAAACTAAGGAGACCTTGAAAAAGACCTTGAAAAGCCTTGAAATTGATTGGTAAATTTGGCTATGAACCCTGAATATATATTAATAAGGTTAAGTAAGTAAAGGATCCTTTGTACACCAGTGGTACTTTAGGCATATGGATAGTGGGTAATGTGATAAGCATCACACTAGCTGCCTTTACTTCTGAGGAAATTACCCGATACCCATTTTTGGCAGGGTCTGTCTGGGAGCCAAAATCACTTTTGAAAAATCTGCCTCATTGTGGATTTGAACCCAATGCCTTCTAACTGGTAGGTAAGCTTTCAAATTCATGTTGATGAAATGTTATTTTGCAGGGCTTTTTTCTTTCTGTTAGTACACTACTACTATACACAAGTACCGGCTCCTTTTTATGTCCATTTATTCCTCAACTTTATGTTGGGTTCAGGCATTTTTTTTTCTCTAGGGAAAAACCTGTTTGTTGGTAATGTGTGGTGTGGCTATGGCTTAAGGGGTGGTGAAGACCCTTTCACGATCCTGGAGTCGGAAGTCGGCTGCAGGTGGTTTGGTATAAGACTCATTTGCAGTTCTTTTGTCAGTGGTACGACTGTCGTATAATTCAAAAAGTGAATTGGCAAACTCATTTTCGCGTTCATAATCCTAAACACAGTGTGTCATTAGGTCACCAATGGCTGCTGACTGTGTGATCAGGTCCCTCCATCTGTATTTGTCAGTATAATGCAGTTGATTTGGTGGGAAATGAATGACTGAACAATTGCATTGTAAAACTTCACAACCACCAAGTGCTGGGCTTAGTTTGTGACCTCTGAAAGGGGATATTTCTTTTTCTTCTCAAAGTCCATGCTGTATGGCATTGGTAGTCATGTCTTTCCACAACCTTCTGTCTTGTGTAATTTAAACCAACTCTGGCACATATGATCCACAACCTTCTGTCTTGTGTAATTTAAATCAACTCTGGCACATATGATCCTCCATGCCATCATGTCAAACTGTCCAGCATCTTTTCTCTTGGTCTTCCTCTGTCTCTGCTCCCCTGTAACTTTCCTTGTGTCACAATGTATTCCAGTTTTCTCCTCATCACATGACCAAAGAATATAGGCAATCAGTTCTCTATGTGAGTCAGTTTCTCTCAAGACATCTTCATTACCTTTTTTTTCATCTGTCCAGGGTATTCTCATCATTTGTCTATAAAATCCATCTCAGCTGCTTCCAAATAAGTTTTCACTAATTTACGAAGTGCCCCAGGGGGATATTTATCTAATTTTTTTTACTTGAGTGATTTCTAGAAAATATGTACGATGTATTCTGATTCTCTACAGCTGGCCCTTAGTGCAAGCTCCCCCATTTACAGAGGTTATCTCTCCGACATAGACACCAGGTGGCCTGTGATTTCTGCATCAGTGGATGACAGGACTGAAGAAGAAAGAGGACTTAAGGTGAGTAATATAGTATGCATGAGGATTTGGTTGGGGGCTGTAAGGATCGTGTGTGTTCTTTTTTCTCCTAATATTCTGTATAAGACTTGCATTAGCAATGCAGAGATTAAGCAGCATGAAGAACCTATGGCAGAGCACCTGTAAATCAGTTAAAGAAAAAATCTTGAGATCATGCATTTTTCCTGTGGCAACTTACAGTTGTGAGTCCTGGACTCTCACTCAGTCACTGAAGGGAAAAAATTAAAGCTTTTGAATTAAAATGTTACAGAAAAATTCTTATAATATATGGATCAAGAAGAGGAAAAAAATAGACAATCTACACAAGTTAAACATCCAGGAGAACTGGCTCATAAACAGCATCCTGCCCAGAAAGTTAAAGTATTTTGGCCACATCAAACATCATGGTGGCTTGGAAAAGACGGCGACGGAGGGTCGACCTCCGCGAAGATGGATACAGGACATTGAAGATGCATTGGCATTGAAAGCGCATGGTATAAGTTAGTCTTTATTTGGTTTAAGTTTATTCTTAGTAACATTGTTCCTCCTCACATGTTGTCTTTTACTTGCCCTGTGTTCGAAAATTTTCTTCACTGTTGCAGTTAGTACCAGAGCATTCTTGTCACATAGCCAAACCATCACCTCTGTTGTTTCAATGACTGGTTTCAGACCAGTGTCTTCTTTTTAACAACTGATAGATGGAAAGGCTGGGCTAGATGATGCAGTAGTGTACACCGATGGTTTTGTTCATCGGGGTGTAAGATCTGGCTGGGGATTTTTAGCTAGAATGAAAGGAAAAATTGTGGCAAAACAAAACTGAGCTTTTTTATTCACAACTTCAAGCAAGAAGTAGAGGCAATCACTACAGCTCTGAAGTGGATAGCAGAAAACAAAGTTACCAGAGGAATTATTATATCTGATTCTCAGCCGGCACTGCAGAAGGTTCAAAATGGACTAATGTGGCGTGGGTGGATACCATGCATCAGTACGCCAACATTGCATTGAGTCTCGTGGATATACTGTCCAGGTAATGCAGGAGAGCAAGGGAATGAAAGAGCAGATTATCTTGCTACAAGCCCGGCTCTCTAGCGAAGTTGGTTAAACCTGACTTTCGCGGCGGCCGGGTGACGAACTCCTTGTGGTCCGGGTTCACTCCCGGGGGTAGGCAGAAAAGCCACATTTCTCCCAGATTAACGGTACCTATAATGGAATCAAGGCCGAAGGGTTGCGATATCCATAGTACCGAGCCAAAGGGTTTACAACTCATGGTTTCTGGCTACGTTAAAAAAAAAAAAATCTTCCTACAAAAGCAAAAGCTACGGGAACACTCGTACTGGACAATGGAGATATTCTGAAGACTATATATGAACGACTTTTGGCAGAAAACACGAGATTAGATGAAATAACATGGGCAGGAATGTGTGAAGGAGGTATTAAGTGTGAATACCAGCAAGGAGGGACGGATGAGAGGAAGAGATCAGCATGTGTATAATTAGAGTGCTATGGGAACAGTTAGCATCTACACCTTACGTAATTTGCTGCTGGAGACGGAGTATATATGGGTATGCCCGTGTGTGTTATGATGTTCATTCTTAAATCAGTAAAGCAGTAAATCAGTCTTCTTTTTGCTTCTTCATTTGTAATGTTATCTCTTTATGTTACTCTGGCAACTGTTGTTATGATTTGTGTTATAATTCACCTTAACCCTTTGACTCCGTAAAGCACATAATCCAGCATCGCCATCAGCTACTTATTCATAAGAAGATACTAAACCAGCATTGTTGCTTTGGACAATTTCCAACAAACCTGGTTAATGGCATTGGTTCTTTTTGCACCAGTGCAGAATTTAGAAGCCCAGGATAGATTATATTTACTTTAAAAAAAGAGTGTAGATCTTAGGGCTAAAGAAACTGGCTTTTATTAGCCATCATGTCAAAAACATTTGTAGTCTTTAGTAATCGAGGTTAAAGGTATGAACTGCTTTGTTCTGTTGCACTGTTCACTCGATCCCATTATGTTACTCAACTAAAATGTTGAATTAAGAATCGACATCAGAGCACTCGAGACACCCCCATAAGCAATCCCTTCCCATCTTCAGCAGCAAGCGAAGAGTTCTAATTTCGATGGCACCAGTAACTGTCTGATTGTATATCCATCTTGCCTTTTTCCTGAGTGTTGATCACCGGCCAGATCCCCTTGTAACTCCTTGCAGTGCCATTGTTAGTAACTCAACTAAAATACATTTATACAAATGCTTCCTCTGCAGCCATTGAAGAATGACCGGTTCAGGATACAGAAGTCACGGTACGACTCCATAGACAGCTATATCTCCCCTCTGGGTCGATGCTACAATGATATTGAGTTAACACTGGATGATGATTTGTGTAAGGAGCTCATTGATGGAGGTAAGGGTGAAAGTACATGTACATGTATCATCCTCAACAACTTCCACTTTTGTCATTAAGAATCATTGGGAGGAACAGTTTCTGGTCCAGCCACTCAATGGGTGACACAGATACCATATAGATGTTTAATGCATCAAGTATGTGGCTGGATGGCCCTGAGATTAGTGAATGTGTTTTACAGTTTCATAATCCATGGCATGTCAGGAGTCGGTTTTCACCGCAGACGATTTATTTAAACAGAAATGTTTTTATGCCATTCTGGTTACAAGAGTCACACTGTTGGTGAGACTAGAGCGTCTTCAAGGAAGATTTCAAAAGACAGAATGGGTACATACATACAACAGTCACGTGCGGACAGCATATAGTTTTTCATTTTTTAAATTGTCATCTTTCTCTATTATCTACCTCTTGGTCGCCATTTTTCTGTCACATCAGATCTTTGTAGTTGTAGCTCCTTCGCCCTCTTGCTATTACATAACATCTTTCTTGATGTAGCTCCGTTGCTCTCTTGATCTCACATCAGATCTTTCTAAATGTAGCCTAATAACCCTTCTGCTCTCACATCAGATTTTTTTAGATGTAGCCTAATCACCCTTCTTCTCTCACATCAGATCTTTCTAGATGTAGCCTAATCAACTTTTCTGCTCTCACATCAAATCTTTCTAGATGTAGCCTTATCACCCTTCTGCTCCCATATCAAATCTTTCTAGATGTAGCCTAATCACCCTTCTGCTTTCACACCAAATTTTTCTAGATGTAGCTCCTTTGGCCTCTTGCTCTCACAAAAGATTTTTCTAGGTTTACCTCCTCCACCTACTTGCTCTCACATATCTTTATAGGTTTACCCAGTTTCACCCTTCTGCACTCACATACTTTCCAGGTTTACCTCCTTCACCTACTTGCTCTCACATATCTTTATAGGTTTACCCAGTTTCATCCTTCTGTTCTCACGTACCTGTCTAGGTTTACCTCCTTCACCCACTTGCTCTCACATATCTTTATAGGTTTACCCAGTTTCACCCTTCTGCACTCACATACCTTTCTAGGTTTACCTCCTTCACCCTTCTGTTCTCAATACCTTTCTAGGTTTACCTCCTTCACCCTCTTTCTCTCACATACCTTTCTAGGTTTACCTCCTCCCCCCTTATGTTCTCTTCAGCCAAATCATTTCTTGAACTATGTAGTTTCTTCAGCTATAGATTCTTTAGCCTATGAAGAAATCCTTTAGCAGTGTAGATTCTTTAGCCTTTGAAAGGAATTCTTAGCCATATAGATTGTATTACAGCCTAGCTGTATACTACAGCTGTCCTTTTAAGGACAAACACAGAAAATTATTCACATCTGCAAAATATTTGACATAAAATGTTTATACTGTGAAATATTTTTTTTCTTCCTAAAATAGGAGTTGATGAACTTTTAGCGCGACATATTGCACATTTGTTCATCAGGGATCCGGTCTCGCTATTTAAAGAAAAGCTAGAGAGCCAAGATGATGAGACAGATACTGACCATTTTGAGGTATTCATTTTATGTTTTTGCTGCTGATTCTGTTTTCCTTGCCTTGCATATTCTGATGGAAATTCCAGAAAAAAATCATTTAACCAAATTTATACAGGTCTAATAGATTGTTTAAGAATGTATTTATCTACATTTTTTTGGTGTCTGAATTGTATAGAGATATTTAAACGGAGTTATCAGTCAACACAAACAGACTGAAGCATTAAATCAAATACATCCCAGGGGCCTTAATAAAATATGTCAGGTATTCATGCCGTAACCCCTTGACCTCCATCACTGAGGCTTATGATAAGTCAACCTGGCTTTAGGAAAAAGCTATTGGCTTTACAAAGCAACCACTCTAAATGCTATATTTAGTTACTATGTTTACATCCGGGCCTTCTAAACACTACACAGACACACATAGGTTTTCTGGTCAAACCTAGTAGGTTACAATCTACGAGTTATGGAGATTGGGGACTATTCAGACTTTGTAATTAGTGATTAGAAAGGATTATCATCACAGCACTCCGGACAGATCCATAGGTGCTCCGATCTCCTCCTCAAAAGCTCCACAGTTGTAAAACAACTTATGACGCCTGTTCTGTTAATCAGACTTTGTGCCAGTAATTATTGAGCGAGTGATTCATTAGTTGAATTTGACCCAGAGACCACTCGTTGATCTTACATCACCAAGTTATCGTCGTCATATGTTCGCCATATTAAACAAGACTGATTGCACTAGTAAATCACACTTTGATTTAGGCAGTTACTGGTGTTCGCATTAAGCTAAACTAGTGCAGGGAATGGCTCCAACAGTCATAAACTTTAGGCACTGAGGTAGTTGGTGGACTGGTGTTCGCATTAAGCTTAACTAGTGCTAGACCCTGAAGGGAATGGCTCCAACAGTCATAAACTTTAGGCACTGAGGTAGTTGGTGGACTGGTGTTCGCATTAAGCTTAACTAGTGCTAGACCCTGAAGGGAATGGCTCCAACAGTCATAAACTTTAGACACTGAGGTAGTTGGTGGACTGGTGTTCGCATTAAGCTTAACTAGTGCAGGGAATGGCTCCAACAGTCATAAACTTTAGGCACTGAGGTAGTTGGTGGACTGGTGTTCGCATTAAGCTTAACTAGTGCTAGACCCTGAAGGGAATGGCTCCAACAGCCATAAACTTTAGACACTGAGGTAGTTGGTGGACTGGTGTTCACATTAAGCTTAACTAGTGCAGGGAATGGCTCTAACAGTCATAAACTTTAGGCACTGAGGTAGTTGGTGGACTGGTGTTCGCATTAAGCTTAACTAGTGCAGGGAATGGCTCCAACAGTCATAAACTTTAGGCACTGAGGTAGTTGGTGGACTGGTGTTCGCATTAAGCTTAACTAGTGCTAGACCCTGAAGGGAATGGCTCCAACAGTCATAAACTTTAGGCACTGAGGTAGTTGGTGGACTGGTGTTCGCATTAAGCTTAACTAGTGCTAGACCCTGAAGGGAATGGCTCCAACAGTCATAAACTTTAGACACTGAGGTAGTTGGTGGACTGGTGTTCGCATTAAGCTTAACTAGTGCAGGGAATGGCTCCAACAGTCATAAACTTTAGGCACTGAGGTAGTTGGTGGACTGGTGTTCGCATTAAGCTTAACTAGTGCTAGACCCTGAAGGGAATGGCTCCAACAGCCATAAACTTTAGACACTGAGGTAGTTGGTGGACTGGTGTTCACATTAAGCTTAACTAGTGCAGGGAATGGCTCTAACAGTCATAAACTTTAGGCACTGAGGTAGTTGGTGGACTGGTGTTCGCATTAAGCTTAACTAGTGCAGGGAATGGCTCCAACAGTCATAAACTTTAGGCACTGAGGTAGTTGGTGGACTGGTGTTCGCATTAAGCTTAACTAGTGCTAGACCCTGAAGGGAATGGCTCCAACAGTCATAAACTTTAGACACTGAGGTAGTAGGTGGACTGGTGTTCGCATTAAGCTTAACTAGTGCTAGACCCTGAAGGGAATGGCTCCAACAGTCATAAACTTTAGACACTGAGGTAGTTGGTAGACTGGTGTTCGCATTAAGCTTAACTAGTGCTAGACCCTGAAGGGAATGGCTCCAACAGTCATAAACTTTAGGCACTGAGGTAGTTGGTGGACTGGTGTTCACATTAAGCTTAACTAGTGCTAGACCCTGAAGGGAATAGCTCAAACAGCCATAAACTTTAGGCACTGAAGTAGTTGGTGGGCTGGTGTTCGCCGCTGTGTGATATCGCCATCTATTTCACAAGACTATCACATATTCCACATGAGACATTAACTTTACTTCTTTCAACAGAACATCCAGTCCACAAACTGGCAGACGATGAGGTTCAAGCCCCCGCCAGCAAACTCAAACATTGGCTGGCGGGTAGAGTTCCGGCCCATGGAGGTACATGTGTTTTTTTTTTTAAACCTGTGTCTATCATTGCCTAGCTCAGTGGTAACCAGGCGTTGTTAACCCTTTCAGTCCCAAGCAGTGCAAAGTCTGTGAGTGATACTATCCCTTGATTTCTCTCCTTAGCATAATATAATCTCTTAAGTTTAACATTTAGCCAGAACACACTAGAGAAATCTGGCTTCTGTAATGTGATTACCGCTGTTCATATTGCCACTTGAAAAGTAATGCATTCATGTTCTATGAACATAGTTATTTCTGCACTCTGGCATCTCCTGTGAAACTTTCTGGTGTTGAAAGAGTTAAGCAGCAAACAAAGGAGTATTGTGTGACCTATGACAGTGATTCTTTTAATATCTAAAACTGTTTACTATCAATATCAGAAGACGATAGTCCACATTTTTTTCCACCTTTAAAAAAAATAAAAAAGTACACCATGACAATAGAAAAACAGCACAGGAAGAAAGGCAGAAGACCCATAGATTTTGGAGAGTTTGGCATCATGACATGGCAGAAGATACATAAAATATGCACACACACCCACACACAGCTGACATTATTATTATAATTTGGGTCTTGACCCTAATTTAGGCCAAGCCTTGACAGCTGGCAGTCAAATTTCTCCCCTAAACCTGTAGTGACATTCATTTTACTAACATGATTAAGTGTGCTCTGTACTTATTCATAGCCTCATGACTCATGTGTTTTAGATAGATGATGTGCATCAAAGGCAATGAAAGCGCAGATGCTTTAGCAAAGGAAGGCAGTAACAAACCACAGACCTACCAGCCACTATTTTTTCCAGAAGTCAAAACTCTCATTAAGAGAAAATCAGAAACAGATTGGAAAACCAACACTGGTTATAACTACGGAAAAGATTTTCTGAAACACTTGAACAGAACAGACCAAGTCACAGTTTTTCGCTTACGCACTGGACACTGCAGACTCAATAAACACTCACATAAATTAGGTATGAGCCAAACAGCTCTCTGCCAGTGCCTTCGTGCTGAACAGACTCCAGAACATGTCCTGCAAGACTGTCCTTTCCTGGCGGAGCTGCGGAGCGACATATGGCAACACCCAGTAGAACTGACAACTAAGCTTTGGGGATACCTAAGAGACCTTGACATCCCAGTTTATGACCCACAGTGGATTATGCGCATGACCAAAGATCGCTGAAGAAGAAGAAGAAGATAGATGATGTGTATGTATGTATGTATGTATGTATGTATGTGCTATCACCCTTTAAGTGCAAGATAGTCTCTAAAAATATGAGGCTGGCTGTGTATGCTCAAGAGGGAGTAAAGGGAAATAAAGATCTCCGTTTAACCCAGGCCCAGATAATAATGAGTTGGTATTTTATATGTTTTACCCAGGCCCAGATAATATTTACTTAGTATTGTTCAGCGGGCATTTGGTTTTTGAGAAGAATATAAAGAATATCACAGAATGATAGAAAAACAAATGAGACTGTCCTCCTTGAGACAGACGAAAGTCATTGTCTGCTATCCTGGGTGTAACAACAAACAGCACATGGTCAGGTGTCTAAGGATACTGTTCTTGCTTCCACACAGACAACTCTCAGGAAAACAACAACGTAGTGTCCGCCATATATATATAATTATTGTCACAACACAGAGGGTAATCACAGTCTCTCATACATAAAGCGAAGTGATGTGGACATCTGTCCTGGCTAATACGTTAACCTAGCTCCTTGTTTCACTCGCTTTCTACTTAAAGCGTCGCTCTCCTGGACAGCTTGCACTTGCTGCCATTACATATGAGCTGACCACTACAGTTGGTAGGTCTACAGCGTCCCGCACTCTGGGCTGGCTCGCTGTACAGATGAAGAGGAAATCTCTCCTATCAACTGGACCTCTGCTCTACCCTGAGCAGACACATGGGCTGACTGGGAACGGACTCAACAACACCAGTTCTCCAGCATGTGCACATTGCACATCAGCCCGTTGAAGAATTCCGATGACCGACAGGACTCTTAATTTGAGTCCCCTCTAGCACAGAGCTATCGCCGGCATCTCCGCTGTCTTGTTTCTCTAGTGATCCTACGCCTCTCTGAGTCGTCACCCAAAACAGCTATTCTTGAGTATCCAGTCCTCGTGGCCTAACTCTGCCGCCTGGACTCTCTTCCTTCGACTGCACGGTGACGAGACTTTTGACTCAGACCTCACTTTCTGACTTGTACTGCTGTACTTTGTCTGTCTCTCTCTCTGTCTGACTCTCAACCCCAGTATATACTCTTTGCCTGCCCCTAGTGGGCGGCTCAGGCCTAACTAGAAGCACGCTAGCATCCTTCTTCCGTGCATCGCGGCTATCTCATACCAATCATGCTAGTAAGCCCACGCGGCTACTACCCCGGGCCTCTCCTGTCCATCCCGTGTCAAGTCCCTTTGCACTTATCAAAATATGGACTCAACAGACTCATATTTCCTGGCTTGAGTCAACACCGGGTAACATATTGACACAGGTAACCCAACATTCTCATGGACTCCCGACATCACCATTCCCAATATATTGTCCTGCCCCAAGGTTACAACTCACATGAATAAGCATGCAACAGTCATAAATGGATAATAAAAATTAGACATAGTCATTGTATTTTTTCTTTGGAAAAGTTATGAAAAGGAATGGCCCTTAGAACCTAATAACAATTAGCAAGATGGTTGGAAAAAAGATCAAAGGGAAGGCAAAGAGATAAGTACCTTAACTATAGAAGGGGAGACAAGAACACTGACCTGATCCATGGTTCTGGTGCTCATATGAGATGGTAAAAAATTTCAGCTTTTGCTTATCGGCACAGCACATAAAGTTTATGATTGTTCAGACAGTATTAAAATGTTGTAATCATGATTGTTTTTTATATGTTTCACCCAGGCCCAGATAACAGACTTTGAGAATGCTGCCTTCACTGTGTTTATTGTACTGCTCACACGAGTCATCTTGTCATACAAGCTGAATTTCATCATACCAATCTCCAAGGTAGATTAATCATCTGTTAAGTCAGTGGTTCTCAACCTGTGGGAAGCGACCCCTTTGGGTGATAAACGACCCTTTGACAAAAGTCACTTAAGACCATCGAAAAACACATAACCTCTGAAATTATGAAGTAGCAATTAAAATAATTTTATTTGAGGACCTGTATTAAAGCGTTGCGCCATTGTTAGAAAGATTGAGAACGAATGTGTTAAGTGCTCTTATAGTGATACAGTTAATTCCTAATGATTGAATCTTTTTTAAATGTGCTGAAGACATTGAAGTCCAATTGAGTTACCAGAGAGTGATCCTAAATGTTACTTGATGATTAAAGAGCTGTGCTATATTAATAACATGATAAAAGCCACGTTCATACAGCTCCTATAAATATTTATAAATGCATTACAGGTAGATGAAAATATGAGAACAGCCTTTAAACGAGATGCAGCGATTAATGAAAAGTTCTACTTCCGCAAGGATGTTTTGACAGGTAAGTAAGCAGTAGCTACTGTTTCTGGGCCTTTAGGCATATAGCGTTAACCCTGTAGTTTTTAGTTCTTTGGGCAGACAATAATTTATACATTCTTTTTCTTATTCTTGTTTTTCTTCTTCTTCTTCCTCTTCTTCTTCCTATTCTTTTTCTTCTTCTTTAGAAGAAGTGGTCCCGACACATGGTGTCCGCCTCAAGTGCTAGAGGTTCCAGGTTCAATGCCCTCTGGTAACCTAACGTCGCTGCCCGGGCAGAATTTGGAGTTAAAAATCTACCCAAAGTATTTCAGAATCCCCGCCGGTGCTACAGACAGAGCCTGTGCACTGTGCTGAGCTTCTTCAGACTCAGACTTGAGTTAGAAGAAGAACGGAGCACTTATCATTTACTAAACATGTGCCATGATGTTGATCTGTTGTTTGAACCTCAAACTTCTTCTTCGCATTCACCGGCTGTAAACTCAGGTGGAAAGTTCTAGTTGTTTATCCTCTTCTTGACTATAGTCTTGTTCCAGAACTTGAGTTTTGTGTGCACATCAGTTAGGCCGATCTGGCTTATTTGCATGCAGACTTCCGGTTGTTGGCCTCTCAGCTTGGTACGTTCACTCCGACTTTAAAGAAAACACCCTGATTGGTTAACTCTTATGACTTGCTTGTTAGAGGTGCAAGGAGTCTTACACACCCCCCCCCCCCCCTTTTCTCCCCAAAATAAGGAACCTGTACTACATACAGAATGTATGCATTCACCATCAGACAGGCCATCTTTACTTCCCAGTAAATTTCCTGGTACCGGTTTTTGGGTTGATCAGGGTTGATCTGAGAAATAAAAAGAAGTATAGGTGCCGCAACAGTATTGTTAACTCTTTGAGTCCCAGGGAATTTAGCATCACAGGCCCAGGGGGTAGTAAAGAAAGTAATAAAATCAGCGCATCATGCGTTCATTGGGCCTCTAGGTAGGAACCTATGAACGCATGATGCGTTCTTTGGGACTCAAAGAGTTAATAGATCAGTTAGCACTCAGTGAGTGATGAGGGCAACATCTTGCCAGCCACCTTTACTTCCCAGTACATTTTCTCGTACCAGTTTTTACACTGGGTCATTCAAAGAGTCGGTCGTCATTTTAAAAATCGTGTCTAAACGAGGATTTGAATTCTAGCAACTACTCTATAGGTTGTAACCTCTTGTCTTATATGTTTTAGCATTTTTTTCTTATCTCCATTCTACTTCTTCATTTTTTTGACCACGTTAGATTTTGAGGGAGATATAACACTCGGCTTCTTTCTCTTCTAGTTATTTCTCTGATGGTATCTTCCCTTCTTGTTCTTAGTCTGTCTTGTGCTCTGCGTCCTTGTCCTCTTTTGGTATATTCCTTGTATGGTATAGGGTGACAAGAGAGTGGCTCTAAACCTTTATAACTTCAATGAATATGGGTTTTCCTATGGTCTTAGGCGACCTCTGCGAAAAGGTAGTTCAACTCAAAAAATGACACAATTAGCAGATTGAGAACCGCTGCTGTAAGTGGACTAACCATTTGATTTTCTGTCTGTGTTTGTCATTTAGTATTGGTTCTGAGTCTGCTGTTTTCTAGTATGACCTCATTCCTGATTTTGTGTTTTATGGTCAGTCCTGTAGTCCTTCTCAGACATCTCCTTTCTGTGGTTACTAACTTTCTTTTCTTCTTTGTTATGATTTCCATGACTGTCACTGCTAGCATAGGGTTGGAATTAATTTGCTTTATATGGGGCTGTTTCTTTGTGCTGATCTGGATCGTCTTCTGCTGTTAAATAAAAATTGGAAAAAGTGGGGGGGGGGGGGGGGGGGTGGGGGGTGAGGGTTTGTGTGTTTTATCTGTCCCACTATCTCCAGTATCCCTAGCGATGATTACCTGGTAATGACAAGATTGCCTTCTCTGAGAAGGATGCTGGGGTTGACTTATCTTTGCAATTGTGAAAGATCTTTTTGTTTGTTTTGTTAACAATTTTTTGTGTGCAAAGTAATTAGAATAAGGTAAATCAGTCTACTTAACCTAAAGGGGGTGCCAGAAAATGCCTTGGGACGTAAAACGGCAAGTGACCTGTTACTGACCATATCAAACACTGACTACTGATTGGTCTATAAAATGTGGTTAAAATTGAACTAAAGTTAAAGCCGACAGAATCAGCGTCATTGTACCGAGTTTGTATCTCATGTGGCTCTGCTGTACGGCTAGCCAGCCTGCCTAGAGTGTTGCATAAAGCTTGAACTCCATTGCTGCCAGAGATTTCCAAAAAATTACACCTGTGAACTAAACAACACAGCCGTGAAATGAACCCATGACCTTCAGAGCGCTAGGCAAATGGCTTGACCTCTCCTCCCTGTAAAATATGGGGTTAGCATCATATGTCCAGTTCATCTCAAGACGCTGCACATGTACCTTTTTTTTTTTTTAATTCTATGTTTAGTCAACTTTTATGACATGCTTGTTAGGGGGCAGTGGGTCTCTTCTTTTTTTTTTTTTTGCTGGTGGTGGGTACCTTCATTTTTTTCCGGGCGGTGGGTCTCTTCTTTTTTCTGGGCGGTGAGTCTCTTCTTTTTTTTTTTTTTTTTTTTGGCGGTGGGTCCCTTCATTTTGTTCCGGGCGGTGGGTCTCTTCTTTTTTCCGGGCGGTGAGTCTCTTCTTTTTTCTGGGCGGTGAGTCTCTTCTTTTTTCTGGGCGGTGAGTCTCTTCTTTTTTTTTGGGGCGGTGAGTCTCTTCTTTTTTCTGGGCGGTTGGTCTGTTCTTTTTTCCAAGCAGTGGGTCTCTTCTTTTTTCCGGGCGGTTGGTCTCTTCTTTTTTCCCAGCTGGGGTCTCTTCTTTTTTCCGGGCAGTGGGTCTTTTCTTTTTTCTGGGCAGTGGGTCGCTTCTTTTTTCTGGGTGGTGGGTCTCTTCTTTTTTCCCCTCATAAAAGGTTTCCTGTTTTCCAGAGTCGACTCCCCTGGAGTGTGCGCAGCAGTGTGGCAGTTCTGGAGGGTGCAGCGATGTGCAAGGAGAATATGAGCTGATGACCATCAAAGAAATTTTTCATGGGAAGGTAAGAACATTTCTCTGGAACATTCTGTGAGTACTTGAGGTTCTGCTTTGTTTATAGCAGAAATTAATCTGTTACTGCCAGTCTTTTAGTTTGTTCTTATTCTTCTGTGTTCATCCGAGGATGTAAATGTGCTGTGCCCATCTACAGCGTTGCTGTGATATTTGCGCCCTTCGGCCGACATATCCAACTTCCAAAGGTATTTATTGCCTGTTGTAGTCTCCCTGGTTAGTTTAGTTGGAAATTGCAGTCTCATAATATTGTGTCACCTTTCCTAGTTCACAGATGCTGTTGAAAACCACTGAGATAGGGAAATATTTGCATCTGAAATGATTGGCAGCAGACAGAATAGAAGGTTGTAGAGAGACATGATGACTAACACCACATAACCAGGGCTGTTATAAAATATAGCAAATATTTTAGTTTACTGGCTGAAAGGTTCTTTCCTGCATACCTCTTCAACGTGAAGTAGGTATGACAATTTACACACAACACAGAATCACATTACTGACATCTCCTGTCTTAAGTCAACACAGAGTCAGAATATTGACTCAGGTCACCGGACACTCAGTGGACTCGCTAATCAATTGGCTTACACTACATTTGCATAATCAATGTTGAAAAACCCGAATCGACTCACAACAGTGGGCCACCTGGGTCGTGACTCCCGGGTCTCGTTGTCCTGTTGCGCACTTGAGTCTTGCCAGTAATACTAAGGGTTTGCTGCTTATTACATCTTGGTCGTCACAGCCATGAATAATTTGCCAGTTGCCATTAGGAAAAAACATGAGAGCCTGCCATTCTGAATGCCGTTTGGTAGACATTGTGGACACTTCTCTTGAGACCTTGGCCTGCTTGCTGCGATCATAAGGTTACTCTGTATCGTTGTTGAGTTTATTCCCCAGCCAGCCAGAGGCTTTCTCTGCTGCTTTGCCCAGCTGATTTAGTGCCCATGCTCTTGCTTGGCCACGCAGCTGTAGTTGTTTCAATGTGTCATACACTGGCTTTGAAACCAGCCCTCTTGCGGCTACCTCGTCAGCGAAGAGTTGTGCTGTGTACCCATCCACAGTTCTTAGACTGGAGATCAGGTCGCTTGCCACTGCCTCATTGATAACGCTGAACTGCAACTTTTTTTGTCATTGAGGAGTCATATATGCACCCCAGGCTCTTGACCGGATTGTCTGGCACAGTGGGAACTGGTTGTCCTGCCACAGTGAATGCAGTTGCCACCGCCTTGCCCTTCACGGTCGACAGACTTCTGAACTTCTGTGGCTGGACGCTCATCCTGCAGCATTCGATCTCTAGGCCTTTCAAGAACACAGCGTGTGACTCTTGTGGCATGGTGCTAGGATAGTCGTATTGTCCATTAAGGCATTTCAACGGCGGCATCACGTGTTTCCCGATTCTAGGACCCTGGGCGTAGTTAGCTGCAGTGTCTAGAACGACATGCATAACATCTTCAACTAGGACTGTTTCCGGCATTGGCTGCCAAACTGTGCTGCAGCTTAAACGTGGGGTTAGAAAGAAGCAGGTGTGCTTCATGGTTTGTCTACCATCAAAGCACTTTCAGATTGTTTTCCTCGGATTTCTGTTGATGCTGTTTCTGCCCTGAAAACACCATCTACAATGCATTTCTGTTTTCATGTGATTTCTGTTGATTCTGTATCTTCCATGAAAACACTTGCAGTGTATTTCTGTTTTAATGTGATTTATATTGATGCTATAACTTCTATGAAATCATCATGTGCAATGCATTTATTTTTTTTGAGTGTGATTTTTGTTCATGCTGTATTTTTTTCATTAACCACTTGTTTGTGATTTCTGTTTTTGTGTGATTTCATTGACGCTGCCTCTTCCATGAAAACACCCGCTACACTGTATTTCTATTTTCATGTGATTCCTATTAATGCTGTCTTTTTCATGAAAACACCACGTGTATTGTATTTTTGTTTTGATTGTATTCTTGTTGTTACTGTTTATTTCATGAAAATACTACCTCCTTCTAGTCAGTTTCTGTTTTCATATGATTTCTGTTTTCATATGATTTCTGTTGATGCTGTCTCCTCCATGGAAACACCACCTGCACTGTACTTCTATTTTCATGTGATTTCTGTTGATGCTGTCTCCTCCATGGAAACATCACCTGCACTGTACTTCTATTTTCATGTGATTTCTGTTGATGCTGTCTCCTCCATGGAAACATCACCTGCACTGTACTTCTATTTTCATGTGATTTCTGTTGATGCTGTCTCCTCCATGGAAACACCACCTGCACTGTACTTCTATTTTCATGTGATTTCTGTTGATGCTGTCTCCTCCATGGAAACATCACCTGCACTGTACTTCTATTTTCATGTGATTTCTGTTGATGCTGTCTCCTCCATGGAAACACCACCTGCACTGTACTTCTATTTTCATGTGATTTCTGTTGATGCTGTCTCCTCCATGGAAACATCACCTGCACTGTACTTCTATTTTCATGTGATTTCTGTTGATGCTGTCTCCTCCATGGAAACACCACCTACACTGTACTTCTATTTTCATGTGATTTCTGTTGATGCTGTCTCCTCCATGGAAACACCACCTGCACCTTACTTCTATTTTCATGTGATTTCTGTTGATGCTGTCTCTTCCATGGAAACACCACCTACATTGTGTTTCCCTTTCTTGCAGGGGGATTTCCCAGGCCTGCTGGCCCTCATCAACCTGTACATGGACAGCATGGAGATCGATGTGGACTCCCGGTGCACTATTACCCAGTACCTGATGCTGATTGGGCAGAGGTCCTCAGGTTAGTTGTGTGGATGGTGTTGGCCTGCTGTCTGTTGAGTTGGGACTGTGGTGTTGTAGTGCATGTGGGATGTGTGTAGTGTTGGTGTGATGTTGGTGCTGTATAGTTTTGGCGAGGCGATGATATCATATTGTGTTTGCAGTGTGGTGTTGGTGTGATGATGATATTATATGGTGTTTGCATTGTGGTCTTGGTGTGGTGATGATATTGTATGGTGTTTGCAGTGTGGTGTTGGTGTAATGATAATGCTGTGTGGTGTTGGTGCTGTGTAGAGTGGTGTTGGTGCTGTGTAGAGTGATGGTGGTATATGGTGTTATGCTGTCTAGTGGTGGTGTAGGCAGTGTGTGGGTGTAAGCACTGGTGTAGGTATTGTGTGATGTAGGCATTGTGTGGGTGTAGACACTGTGGTGTCGGTAGTGTCTGTGGTGTTGGCACTGTATGGCATGTTGGCACTGTCTGAGGTGTTGGCACTGTATGGCATGTTGGCACTGTATGGCATGTTGGCACTGTATGGCATGTTGGCACTGTCTGAGGTGTTGGCACTGTCTGAGGTGTTGGCACTGTATGGCATGTTGGCACTGTATGGCATGTTGGCACTGTCTGAGGTGTTGGCACTGTCTGAGGTGTTGGCACTGTCTGAGGTGTTGGCACTGTCTGAGGTGTTGGCACTGTCTGAGGTGTTGGCACTGTATGGCATGTTGGCACTGTCTGAGGTGTTGGCACTGTATGGCATGTTGGCACTGTCTGAGGTGTTGGCACTGTATGGCATGTTGGCACTGTCTGAGGTGTTGGCACTGTATGGCATGTTGGCACTGTATGGCATGTTGGCACTGACTGAGGTGTTGGCACTGTCTGAGGTGTTGGCACTGTCTGAGGTGTTGGCACTGTATGGCGTGTTGGCACTGTCTGAAGTGTTGGCACTGTCTGAGGTGTTGGCACTGTATGGCATGTTGGCACTGTCTGAGGTGTTGGCACTGTCTGTGGATTTGGCTGTGTTAGGGGTGTTGGCACTATATGGCATGTTGGCACTGTCTGTGGTCTTGGCTGTCTGTGGGGTGTTGGCTGTGTCTGTTGGGTTGGCACTGACTGTGCATTTGGCTCTGTGTGGGGTGTTTGTTGGCTGCATTTGGGGTGTTGACACTGTCTGGGGTGTTGGTGTGCGCAGCAATACACACGGGTATCCTATCTTACTATCCAGAGACCAGGAGAAATTACTGGAAGTCCACATGAAAAAATTCCCAGCCTGAACCCGGGACCCCTAGCACTCAAGATGGACACCATGCTTCGAGACCACTCACCCCCCTCCCCCCCCCCCCCCCCCTCCCCATAATTGCAAGATAATTGCTTCTGACCAGTAGAACTCTGGGGTCAATCCAGCTTTACATCAATAGATACCAGACAATTTGCTGGACAGCAGCGATGGTGAAGAAGGGAACTGTGCACTACACCTTATAAATCATGACTTATAATGTGCAAATGCTTAGCACTTCACAGCACTGCTTGAATATTTACAGTGTCTATCCTTTATATCCTGTCTCGAAAGCTGAAATATTTTGGTCATATTAAGCGCCACAATGGATTGGAAATAATTAAAGCAGAAGTCATGGCACCATGAAGGAGGGGCAGGGGCCGACCTACACGAAGATGGGCACAGGATATAAGTGACTCCTTGAGTATGAAAGAACATGAGGTGGGAAAGCTGGCGAGAGACCGAGTTTCTTTCCGGCAGACCGTGATGAGAGCGACGTTCTGCAAAGGACCTGCTACATGATAGTTTTGAAGATTTTCAGCCCCCAACCTTCTTTTTGGAAGTTTGGCAAGACTCCCACCCCGAATTTTAAAAAAAACAAATGCTCCAAAAAAAAAAAAATGCCAAGCACTGTTAACAAAAACCTGAAGAAAAACATCCACATAAATCAATGTCGCAGAACATAAAAGAAACAGTCTGGTAATTTGGTGCCTAAAAATCAATGTGATGGTTGACACTGTGTTATCTTGATGTCTGCTCTTTTTTGGTCTCATTTTGGACAGGGCACAAAGAAGTACTTTAAAAAAGTATTTGTGTGACAGATTGTTACAAATAAAGCCCGGCTCGCTAGTGCAGTTTGTTAAAACCCTCTGCGTGACCCTGACCCCACTCACAAGAGGGCAGCAAGTTACTTCATAATTATATCATACCCCAGTATACCCATTTTATTGGGTTGAACAGGGTATCTGTGATTTGCTTCTCTTGAATTTACATTCTAAAAAGTTATATCTGTGATTTGCTTCTCTTGAATTCACATTCTCAAAGTTATATCTGTGATTTGCTTCTATTGAATTCCATTCTAAAAGTTATATCTGTGATTTGCTTCTCTTGAATTCACATTCTAAAAGTTATATCTGTGATTTGCTTCTCTTGAATTCACATTCTAAAAGTTATATCTCTGATTTGCTTCTCTTGAATTCACATTCTAATAGTTATATCTCTGATTTGCTTCTCTTGAATTCACATTCTAAAAGTTATGTCTGTGATTTGCTTTTCTTGAATTCACATTCTAAAAAGTTATATCTGTGATTTGCTTCTCTTGAATTCTCATTCTAAAAGTTATATCTGTGATTTGCTTCCCTTGAATTCACATTCTAAAAAGTTATATCTGTGATTTGCTTCTCTTGAATTCACATTCTAAAAAGTTATATCTGTGATTTGCTTCTCTTGAATTCACATTCTAAAAGTTATATCTGTGATTTGCTTCTCTTGAATTCACATTCTAAAAAGTTATATCTGTGATTTGCTTCTCTTGAATTCACATTCTAAAAGTTATATCTCTGATTTGCTTCTCTTGAATTCACATTCTAATAGTTATATCTCTGATTTTCCTCTCTTGAATTCACATTCTAAAAGTTATTTCTGTGATTTGCTTCTCTTGAATTCACATTCTAAAAAGTTATATCTGTGATTTGCTTCTCTTGAATTCACATTCTAAAAGTTAAAGTCACTGGGGGTCAGTCTCTCTCAAGCTGCAGTCCTGGAGAGGACAAAATAATTTTACCCAAACAAATCTTGGGTTAATTTTTAAAAACTCACGGTCTGTAGCAGCCCTACATATGGCACTTCCGGTCAAAATGGACGTTAGGCAGCGGCACTGTTCGAAACAGAGGCAAATTTAGGCTTCTGCCGGACGGTGGCTGATACATTTTTGCTCCATTTGTAGACTGGATAAAGTTTCGTCGCCCAGCTTCTGAGTTGAATGCATGGCGTGACCCTGTGAGCTGCGGTGGAATGTTTTTTCTACTGTGACCAACGTGTTGGTGTGTATTGTAGATTCAGAAAATGGCGCGATGCCTGTCGTGCAGTGTTGTGGTGCCCGTATGTGATTAAAATTGATCGCGTGGGCAACTGCTGATCTGTTGGCGACTTCTGCTACAATCAATGATGAACTGCAATTCTAATACTGTGAAAAACATTCTGTGTGTTTTTTGTTGGCACAGGAACGGAGCAAAGATGGGGTGACCCGTTTGCTATGAAGCTGAAACTAAGACTACCAGACCAGACCAGATGGCACATATGACGTGTCCTTTGCCCCTCCTGACTTTCCTCTGCCTTTTACAGGTCCACCTATATAATATATATATAATACTAGAGCCCATAAATAAAGCCAAGAATTTAAAAAAAAATTACTGTCCCTACTCTGTATTTACCACTTTTTAGGGTAGAGTTTACAATGAAAATGAGAGAGGGGGGTAGGGGGGGTTTGGAACCTGAAGATGTAGGGGCCATATAACTAGTGCTGTTGCCATAAGCTTCGGAGTCTGTATTTTTATTTTTCCCAGGCAGATAAAAAACACCACCTCACCAAGAATTCAAACCTAAATCTCCTAAATAAGAACGTGACAAAGCAAAAAATGTTAACACTAGAATCCTTCCATGTTGTAGGAGTTGACTGACTTCTTATTTCGTAACTTTAACATGAAAATTATTCTTTCCTGTCCTAAACACTAAAATCCATCCATGTAGTAGGAGTTAACTAGTTTCTTAACCTTTAACATGAGAATGATTGTTTCCTATCATAAACACTAGAATCCATCCATTTTGTAGGAGTTGGCTAGCTTCTTAACCTTTAACGTGAGAATGATTGTTTCCTGTCCTTACCACTAGAATCCATCCTGTTGTAGGAGTTGGCTAGCTTCTTAACCTTTAACGTGAGAATGATTGTTTCCTGTCCTTACCACTAGAATTCATCCACGTAGGAGTTGGCTAGCTTCTTAACCTTTAACTAAAGAATGATTGTTTCCTGTCCTTACCACTAGAATCCATCCACGTAGAAGTTGGCTAGCTTCTTAACCTTTAACGTGAGAATGATTGTTTCCTGTCCTTACCACTAGAATCCATCCTGTTGTAGGAGTTGGCTAGCTTCTTAACCTTTAACGTGAGAATGATTGTTTCCTGTCCTTACCACTAGAATCCATATATACTGTAGGAGTTGGCTCCCCTTACAACTAGAATCCATCCTGTTGTAGGAGTTGGTTCCCCTTACCACTAGAATCCATCTATACTGTAGGAGTTGGCTCCCCTTACCACTAGAATCCATCTATACTGTAGGAGTTGGCTCCCCTTACCACTAGAATCATCCTGTTGTAGGAGTTGGCTCCCCTTACCACTAGAATCCATCCACGTAGGAGTTGGCTAGCTTCTTAACCTTTAACGTGAGAATGATTGTTTTCTGTCCTTACCACTAGAATCCATATATACTGTAGGAGTTGGCCAGTTTTTCAACTACTAACATGAGAATGATTGTTTCTTGTCCTACAGGAACTCTACAGACCAGTGCCAAGTGGATGCGCAACTTTGTCTTAAATCATAAAGACTATAAACAAGACTCAGTCGTCTCAGAGCCCATTGCCTATGACCTCCTCAAGAGGATAGTGAATATATCCAACGGCTCCGAGAATGCGGACCCACAGCATCTCTTCCATCACACGACCAAATCTTCCGACAGCATACCGGAGGCCCTGTACCAAGCCGAAGCATTCCTGGACCAGAAGTCACGCAAAACCGCGACAGAGGCGGACAAACCCCACCAAGACTTTCAGCCCCACCCCTCGGATAACCCACTGTCCAATGGTTTAGTGAATGGAGATTGATCTTAGGTTTCTGGGATATGGCTGGATTGTCGAGGGAATATACTGTTACATTTGTTGGGATGTGTTGGTTGTTGCTTGGACTCGGAGAGTGTATGAAGGTCAAGATCATGTCAATCAGTTACAGATAAGGGATGTTATGCATGTTAAACTAGCTTGTGGTGATATTTCAGTCATACTAGCTTTTATGGTCTGATCATGAGAAGGAGAAAACTAGAATACATTGTGATGGTAGGAAAGTTAGAGAGGGAAATGGACAGGTGGAAATTGAGAGGGAAGATGCTGGTCAGTTTGATAGTGTGGTATGAGAGATTATCTGTGTCAGAAATTATAAAAATGCACGAGACAGAAGGTAGTGACAGTGGGGTATGGGAGATTATCTGTGTCAGAAATTATTAAAAATGCACGAGACAGAAGGTTGTGACAGTGGAGTATAGGAGATTATCTGTGTCAGGATTTTTTGAAAGTGCATGAGACAGAAGGTAGTGACAGTGGGGTATGGGAGATTATCTGTGTCAGAAATTATTAAAAATGCACGAGACAGAAGGTTGTGACAGTGGAGTATGGGAGATTATCTGTGTCAGGATTTTTTGAAAGTGCATGAGAAAGAAGGTTGTGACAGTGGGGTATGGAAGATCATTGTGTCAGAAAATTGGAAAATACACTAGACAGAAAGTTGTGACAGCGTGGTATGGAAGATCATTGTGTCAGAAAATTGGAAAATACACGAGACAGAAAATTGTGCATAGACATGACTACCAGTGCTGTAAAGCATAGGCTATAAGAAGAAGATGCTGTGTATCAGCTAAGGCTGAAAAAAGAAGTGATTAAAACATGGTCTGAAAAAAAAATTTGGTCTGCTGTAGTGTGCTTAAAATCTCATTTATGTAAATATCTTTCTTGTTAACAGATTCACATAATTATCTGTAATACTAAATCCACTGCTTGTTCAAGTTTGTATTCATATCTAATATCAGTTTTGTTCTTATTGTTAACTGGTTCATTCTGTAACATCTAATATTAGATCTAATGATTGTTCATTTTCGCAGTAACATCTAATTTTTTTTATTCCATTGATTTTTCCTATCATTTCTTAAAGGATACGCATGTAACATCTCATGTTAGATCTGCTGGTTGTTCATTTTTGCAGTAACCTTTTAATATTTATGTAGTTTCATTGCTATTTAGTTTTTGTTTTTTGTTTGTTAGATGACTCACTCTATAATCTCAAATAATAGATCACCTGTTTGTAATGCCCAATATTAGTTTTGTTACTGTTTTTCATGTTAACAGATTTACCCTGTAACATCTAATGTTGACACACACTGTTCAGTTCTGTAGTAACATCTAATGTTGACCCACACGGTTCAGTTCTGTAGTAACATCTGATGTTGACCCACACGGTTCAATTCTGTAGTAACATCTAATGTTGACCCACACGGTTCAGTTCTGTAGTAACATCTAATGTTGACCCACACGCTTCAGTTCTGTAGTAACATCTAATGTTGACCCACACGCTTCAGTTCTGTAGTAACATCTAATGTTGACCCATACGGTTCAGTTCTGTACTAACATCTAATGTTGACCCAGATGGTTCAGTTCTATAATAACATCTATGTTGACCCACACGGTTCAATTCTGTAGTAACATCTAATGTTGACCCACACGGTTCAGTTCTGTAGTAACATCTAATGTTGACCCACACGGTTCAGTTCTATAATAACATCTAATATTTCAATGTAAGTTTTCTAGCAATTTTTTTTGTTTTTGTTTTTAAATTATATACAACCTGTCCGATGTGATACTGACTACATCACCCGCCAAGTGCCGATTGGTCTATAAAAATATAGGTCTAGCCCTATATGCCTAATACACCCAAAGTCGTGGGAAAAGGTCCTTTACTTTTATACACCCTGTAAATTCCAATATTATTAGCTCCATTGGTTTGTGAGTTTTGCAGCAACATTTAACATTTTTTTAATTAGTTTTATTGCTATTTACTTATTAAGGGATTTACCCTTTGGTAACTAATATTAGTTCTGAATGTCCAGTTTTGCAAAAGCATGTAATATTAGTTTTTAATTTGTCGTTAGTTTCCTTACTGCTTTCTTGTTATCAGACAGTTCATTCTTTAACTTGAGTTGTGTTACTATTTCTTGTTGACACATTAACTCTACATCATCTCATATTAGATCCACTGGTTGTTCAGTTTCATTGTAACATCTAGTATTCATTTCCACATCTTCAGTTAGACATACGGTGCTGACCCTATATTACTATAGACGAGTTCTCAGTCCATAGACATACGGTGCTGACCCTATATGACTATAGACAAGTTCTCAGTCCATAGACATACGGTGCTGACCCTGTATTACTATAGACAAGTTCTCAGTCCATAGACATACGGTGCTGACCCTATATTACTAAAGACGAGTTCTCAGTCCATAGACATACGGTGCTGACCCTATATTACTATAGACAAGTTCTCAGTCCACGGGTAGCCAGCATTGTGCTGACAGCCTCTATCTACTCCTTACTAATAATTCAGCATAATAAATAAGCCTGCAAATGTAAATCATTTCTGTTCATAAGGAAGCGTGCGCGAGGGAGGGGGTAAACTATATCTAACTCAGGTCACAGTCGTAAACTAATAATGCACAGAAACACATATTTTACAGTAATATTAAAGGAGTTATTAAACAGTTTGCACAAAAGAATGTTCTTATTTTTATTTAATTGTGTACCATGCCCTTTATCCAGTTGGTTGTCACACAGTGTAGCAAATGTGAATTCAGTCAAAGAAAAGCATGGATCTGTGTTTTGCAGTGTGACTTCACTTACGGTTCTCTGACTCTTCATGGCTAAGAGGTTAAGCCAGATATTTACCTTGTGCTCTAAAGAAGTGTTCTTTACCCCAAGAGCTGCGTGGCCCACTGTTGGAAAAAGGGGGTGGAAGGGTCTGGGAGATACCAAAGGGCCGCGAAGAAATGTGTGCCCAGTCATGTAACAAGAAAAGAATATCTATCTCAGAATTATAGAAAATCAGATGTTTGTGTCATTTTTTTTTAATTTTTTTTTTTTACTTTCTATTTGTGTGAAAAGGCTTTCTCAAATATTGATAATAAAAACCAAGCCAGTGAATCGAATGGATGTTATTGCAGCGCTTCCTCTATCAGAAACGATGCTCTAGCATTGCATATCAGATTATCTAACCTCTAAACAGCATTTACAAAAAATATTGTATTGATTGCTACTGATCTAATCCTGAAAACGTCAGTTTTCACTTAATCAGGTATTTAAGTAGTCACGTGACCTCAGATAGTGAAAGATTGTTATTTGGATGTAGCTCAGTAAATGTATTATTTGTTTGATTTATAACTTTGGACAAAATCTTGTTTATGTTAAATGCACAGACTTTTGTTTGTTCAGAAAATGACATTACATAAGCTTTCATAGCGGGGAAGTGAACTTTCATGTGGCATTCAGTATTTTATTGTGTTTTTTAAGATTTGCGTTGTTTTATTGAAAGAATGAGCTGACTTCATTTTCAGAAGGTTTCTTCTTCTTCTTCTTCAAATTCACTGGCTTTAAACTCCAGCGGAAAGTTTTGATTTTTCATTCCATCTCTGGACTTTAGTTGCAGGACCTTAGTGTCGTGTGCACATCCGTTTTGCATGTGACTTATTTATATGCAGATTGTCGGTTCCTTGCCTCGCAGGCAGATTCAGCCGACTTCAAAGAATGTCCCCATTTAGTCTACTCTTGTGACATGCTTGATGGGGAGGCAGTGGGTCTGTTCTTGTTTCCCCCCACACTGGGGCCCCAGAATCCCCACGGGTAACCCATAAGTGCTCCGTTCTTCTTCTGACTCAAGTCTGAGTCCGAATAAGCTCAGCACAGTGCACAGGCTCTGTAGCACCGGCGAGGATCCTGAAATACTTTAGGTAAATTTTAAACTCCAAATGTATGCCAGGGCAGCGCCGTTAGGCTGCTCTTTTAGATTTCCAACTGCCAAGGGATTTTTTCACGTGCGCAACAATACACACGCGTGTCCGATCTCACTACCCAGAGACCCAGTGGAATCACTCGAAGTCCAAGTCAACGTGAAAAAATCCCAGCCCTTACTGAGGATTGAACCGGGAACCTCTAGCATTTGAGGCGGACACTATGCCCCGAGTCCACGCAGCCCCCTTAATACAGTAGTGAAAGGAACTTGTCACTCTGAATGGTGCTGCAAAGTGGGACCAGGGATCTGGCAGACGCTCATCATTCAGGGGAAAGGCGAGACTAATATAAAATCACACTGTTACTAGTACTATCAGAATGGAAACTCTGCACTTGCTGCTGAAGGTGGGAATGGAGTGCTTATGGGACTGTCCTGAGTGCTGTGATGTTGATTCTTAATTAGCTTAGTTCTTGTCACTGAGTAAGTCACAATTTCTCCTGTACATATTCTATCATACAGGCATCTGTATATGCAAGCTGCTGTTTTCATGTGGCACAATAACACTGATGGGCATCTTCTGTGGTTTTCATTGGCAGTGAACAGAATTATGACCCTCTGGCCATGAAGTTGGAACCATGACTAACATACTCTTCTTCCCTCATCACTATGTGCCATATGGGATGACATATGGGGGTAACATGATCACATCTCTCAACAACCGTCTGACATTCATGTTCTTGCAAGTGTGAGATAATTATTTTTCATGTAAATCCCCACCAGTTTTTTCAGTGTTGTACAGAGAAAATGTTTATGAATATAACCAGGGTCTTATCAGCATTATAAGCTTTTGTGGCAGAGCAGTGGGTACTTTATTAATATCCTACCCCAGATGACGTCACAGGATAGTCCAACATTTTGGAGGGTGGTAAGACTGGGTTTCCCCACCTTTTGATGCTTTTAACGACCCCAAAACATCTAGAACTGGCCCTAACCCCAACCCACCTACGTCCCATGAGAGAGTGCAGCCTTGATGCCACAACTGCATGCAGCCTAGGTC